CAATTTCTCTTACTTTTTTTTGAAAATTTATTAGAGAATGATAATAACATAACAAATGATAATCTTAATTAAAATAAGATAATATTTATGTATTTAAATTAAAAAAGTGAAAATTTACTATTATATACTTCAAAAATAAAAGAAATTTTAGATAATCCCGTGTAGCTTACTAGTATATTCAGTAGAGATTAGTTTTTTTTTATAATTTAAAAATTCAAAAATTTTAAAAAGGAAAATTTACTATTTAATTTAAAAATTCAAAAAATTTATATCTTTGAATAAAAAAATTAATAAAGTCATATTTTTATCTAAATCTTTTCTAATCAATTAAGAATTCACAAAAAATCAATATGTTAAAGATGCAAAAAATTTCATTCAATATGAAATAGAATATAAAAAGAGTGGATCTGTGACAAAAAAATTTTATTCTATTTGATCTTGAATGAAATTCTTTGCAATTTCAACACACTGGTTTTTCGTGAATTCTCAATTAATTAGAAAATGTTTAGATAAAAATATGACTTTATTAATTTTTTATTTAAAAATATAGATTTTTTGAATTTTAAATTAAATAATAAATTTTCCCTTTTTTATTTTTTTGAATTTTTAAATTTAGAAAAAAAAAAACCAACCCCTATTAAATATGCCAATAAATTATATATTTCAGTGTCTCACTAAATTACTTAAAATTTCCTTGATTCTTGAAGCATATTATAGTAAATTTTCACTTTTTTAATTTAAATACATAAATATTATCCTATTTGAATTAAAATTATCATTTGTTATAATATCATCATTCTCTAATAAATTTTCAAACAAAAAGTAAGAAAAATTGTAAAATTTTATATTATCATTTTTTTAAGAAAAAGAAAAAATTTACCATTTAATTTAAAAATTTTAAAATATTATATTTTTAAATAGATTAATAACAAAGTTGTCATCTTTATTTATCTATTATCTTCTCAAATTATGAGATTTTTATATTTTATTATTTAAAAATTATCAATCGTAAATTCCATAATTGCCTTTTGCAGGATCCACGTTGGGTTGGGGAGGTAGTAGGAAGTTAGGCTAAGGCAAAAAAAAATTGTGGGAGAGATGATGTGATAAGGGTGGGGCTCACAAGAAAGAAAGGGTGACAAAAAAAAAATGATAACCGGTGTGACCGTTGCATTTAACTGTTAATAAACAGCACCGTTAGTTACAGTGGACATAGGGACGACATTGGGGTGTTTCTGCATTGTAGAGGGATGACAAGTGGAGTTAATTAATAGTAGAGGGACGACATGAAGCCACTCCATAGTAGAAGGTTTAGAATGAACTATTTTTGATAGTAGAGGGACGATAGATGGCCTTAACCCTTTATTTAATAATAAATAAAAATTATATAAAAATTTATTTCTATATTGGTGTCCCTTTAGCTTTTCTGCTATTTTGGACTTTTTTTAAGGGCATCGGATATTTTGGTCTTTTGATAATGTGACTACTGGTGACGTTTTGTTTGTCCACCATGGGAGAACGGGACGTTCGACGTTTGACACTTTCGCAGCTTTTTCGTTGTTGGCATGGGGACTCATTTTTTATTTGTGATTTTTTTTTTTTCATTTTATTTGGAGGTTTTTCTTGACGTATGATATACATTTCTTACATTTTGTAGACATTAATTTAAATTAAAAATAAAAAGTATGAATATTAATTTCATCAATTATTTAATTAAAAAATTCATGTATAGCATGGGTATTAAAATTAATATTAATTGAATTGAAAGTAATTTAAATTACATATGTTAATTTTTAGATTAATTTTACACTTATCTAGTATATTAATAGGTTTATTTATTAAAATAAGGTGCATTTTATTATTTTTTGTGATTAATTAGTATAACAAATTATGAAAATAAAATTTACTTTCAATACTAAAGTCATATGAAATAATTTAATTAGATAGTTAATAAAATTTAAATCAATTTTTTTATTTAAATTAGTGATAAAAAATATAATAAATATACTCTTACATTATAAGAACACAAATTAAAAAGATTCATATATACATATATATATATAAATAACCTTATATTTAAATTGAGAGAAAAAGAAGGAGGATAATTATATCCTTTTATATTCCTCCATTTTCCTTCCATTTCTTCTTTTCATTTAGGTAAATAACAAAATTAAAAGAAAAAATAAAGTAAACAAAATTTCTCACATCCCTTCACCTCAAAATTTTTTTAACCAAATAAAAGAAAAATTTCCCACTCCCCTTTCCTCTAATTCCTTTAATTTAAATATATTACTATATTTTTTTAATCAAAATCTTATAAATGTTAGTTTAACTTTAAAATTAATATATATTATTTATATAATATAATATAATATTTAATCTGAAAATTTTTAAAAATAGTATTAATTAGTACAATTTAAATTTTTAACAAATCTTTTAAAAATGTTTTTAAAAAAATCTACATTATACTACACTTTATTAAAAAAAAATACAACCTATGCTAAACTTAATGAAAAGAATTAAAAAATAATAATTATTTTCAAACGAAAGGAGGAAAGCAGGACATAATATTGCGTCTGTATTTGCTTGTTTTTATTGCGTTGCCCTTAAGTTTGGGTCTCCGCGGATTATAGTTTTTTTATATTTTTACTGTTATTGGACCGTTGGGCCGATCAATCTTTTGCTATTGCCAACCTTTAAATTGACCGATGGTATATAAAACTTCGCATTTACCCTTATTTCTTATAAAGAAAATGATTTTTTTAATTTGTATTTTTAAGATATAAATTAAAAATATAATATATATATATTTATTATAAATTTATATTAAAAAATAAAATTTAATTTTTAATTTATTAATTATTTAATTAAATTTATTTACTTGACATTAATATTAAAATTAATATTAATTTTTATATTTTTTATATATATTTATGATATAAAACACTCTATGTTGAAAAAAAAAAAGTAAACTTATTACGTCATGCTCTTGGCGGTGTTAACGGTTTGTAAACGTTGAATCTACGTGTTCCACAATACTTCCACTTTCATAGGTTTGATTGCTTCATGTTAACTTTAATTAGTGGCTAAGACTGTTGTAGCTTAATTGATAAGAAAATTTGTTTCAAATTTGATTAATTAAGAGTTAACATCTTGCACTTGGGCCTAGTGGCCTGATGGCTTTAAGCCTTCTTGAAAGTGCATCCCCCAGCCCTTAGGCTGGGGATCGGGCCCCCACCCCCTCATTTGTACCCCGTTCAAAAAAAAAAAAAAATTAAGGGTTAACATCTTGGAGAGTTCAATAGAAAGATAATTCTTGATGAATTCTTGAATTTTAATTTGAATGACTTGATACATGTTTTTGTAAAGAGGCAAATTTAGATTCAAGTAGCCTCTATGTCATCAAGACTTACCTTGATATAATGGCTAAATTGATGTCCTCAACATGCATTTGTAAAAAAATCTTGACTGTATCCAATGTTACAGTACATGGCAGTATTTGCTAGGTCATTAATGAACCTATAGATCCAAGACCATGGAGATTATTTGAGATAAACTATGAGAATAATGGCTTGACAACATGGATGGATGAACATTGCTCATCTGTTGAAGTATAGTATTCGTGCTAGCTAAGCTTGGGCTAGTAATACTGCTTATCTTCGTAAGGAAGGCATGGGTGGCAAATATGTAGGGGCAAAACTTGATCCCAAATTCACATCATTTGATGCTAACTAGAAGACTTGCACTCTCATTGAAGATCAATTAGAGATGTCATTTGAGTCTCCATCATCAATCTACTAAGAATTTAATGTTTGGACAAGTATGCAATTTTCCTATAGACGATTGCATAAGTTATACCACATTAAAAGTTGATGAAAAGATTACGATTTTTCTAGGAAATCTACCAAAATCTTGGACACAGAAAGATTTACTAGTAGTACTTAATTACATCCCAAAATTGGCATTACATGTGAATATGAAATTACTCAGTATGGGAGGGCTATAGTGGATCAACAATTCTTTACTAGAAACATTGGAAAAATCATAATTACATATCAACCTTATCAAAGGTGCTCAAATCATCCCAAAACTTGACACCTATCCTTACACAACTCATATCTAATCGTTGGATTGATAAGCTACTTTGGCCTTACAAATCCAAAATTACCAAAATACCACTATCTATATATATTTACTATTTTCCCTTCATTTTATACATGAGAGGCATTTTTATCACATTTTTACTCTTTCATCTTCATCTTCAACCTCCTGACTCTCTCACTAAAACATCTTAAACTTGTTGCAACTCATTTCATCTAATTTCTAAGCTCACATGCATGCAAGCTTCATTTTCTCTACTCCTAGCCACACAAATTATATTCTAGACATACAGTTCATTATGGCTAAAAGACTTCATATCACAACTTGAGATTCTGGGTTATTTTTCTTAAGCATCAAAGGATCAATTAGCAGCAAAGTTAGCATCAACATACAGCATCAAGTCCCCCATCAAAAGCCTCCACAATGATCATTCTTTCTTCTCCAATCACTACTTTCTAGTTTATTTCTTTTTGTATGCATAAATTTGGAGAAGGAAATTATAATACTTTGAACTCCAACTTGAAATTTGTTTATTTTAGAGTTCATACATTTGTTGAAGATGGTAGAGGGTATATCTACTATTTATTTCTTCCATTCTACAATGTATTACATATAAAAATGCCCATTTATTGTACAAGTTGACTTTACATTTTTTATCTAAACTACTCTAGCTACAATGTCACTCACCTATTTGTCTTTTTATTTTTGTGGTTGGATAATCGTCATATGGAGGCATCATTGCCATCTACCTCTTCTGGTTTGGTTGGAGAAGGTTCACACTCAGACTTTGTTGGTGAAGTCAAGTTGCTCAACACCCATCTATCTTTTGATGGTTGTGTAATCATGATCTTGGGAGTACCATTACCACTCCAAACTCCCTGCTTGTTGGGAGAAGCTGTATTTCCAAACTCTACTAGAGAAAGCTTGAAATTCATCCTTACCAAAGAAGAAGAGAAGGGAAGATAGCTTGTGGCAAATAGCCTTTTGCACGTGAAATGAGTGCAAACCAAAAGGGCCCTCCTCATTTCCCGTAGAGGGCATCCTAGTTTGCTACCATGTCATCTTTATTGTTGACTCATCAACCTCCTACCACAACAACCTTTAATTAGATTATAGAGAAATAGTCTCGAAGTGCATAAATTAAATTGAAAACAAACACCCTAACCTTAAATCCAAAGAGAAAGAGTGGGGAAAAAAAAAGAGATTTAAATTTAGAGTAATTAGTGAATCAATAAAAGATGAAGAGGGCTTTACAATACTAAACAATTACCTCTAGACGTGCCAAAAAAAGTAAGAGATCAAAAAAAGATTTAAGGTTTTCCCGGAAGTCAGTCTTTCCTTGTGTTAATAGACTAATTTAGAGTAGTGTTTTAGTAGTTCAAATTGCTTAGACAAGTGGTTGGTCATGAAAACGAATGCTCAAAATCTTAGAGCTTATTTGGATGTAGAGGAAGGAAAGGGATGAGAGAAAAATAAAAAGATACTTTCTTGAATTTAAGTTGGGTAAAATGAATAAAAAAATTGAAAGAAAAAAAAAATAAACAAAGCTTCTTCTCTATTATTCCTCTAAGAATATGTATGGTTATGTATGGTTTGCTTATTTTATTAGTTTATAATTTTTTTAAATAATTAGTTAGTGTGTTTAAAAACATTATTTTATAAGTTAATTTTAAACTATTAAATAATAAATGTTAATTAGTTTGTAAACTAGCTACTAACAAATATTGCTATAAACTATTCCTAATAGGAAAATAATTTAGAAACAACTTTTTTGTATTACTTTTGATACAACCTTACGTGTCATTTAAATTATTGGCTCTTTTCAATTATTTGGAAATTATGATATTAAATACATTTACTTATTTAATGACATGTAAAAATTATATAAAAAAATTATTCCTATATCATCACCCATTCCTAATAATTAAGCCAAATCGAGCCTATATTTTTTGTAACAAGATCCTAATAATCAAGCCAAATCGAGCCTATATTTTTTGTAACAAAATAAAGAAATCTAAGGAAAATAATGTAAGGCCAAAAAAAAAAAAAATGGAAGGAATGTCAAGGGACTTATTTGGGTTGGGACAGAAGTGTGTGGATTCGATTGACAAAACTGATTGAATTAGGGGTCAATCTTACGCTTTTTCAAAAATAAAAAATAAAAGGAAACTTCTCAAGGGAAACACGCTAGACGTCGTAAATTGAGCGTGGGAGCGTCGTAAATTCAGTGTGGGAGGGCAGGGGTTTCAATATATGTATGAAGGGAGCTTTTGTAGTCTCAAAAAATACCCACCTGAGCCCCGAGGCAGAGAGAGAGGACGGAGAGTGACCATGTATACCTTCCCTTTTTCTTCCTTTTCTCTTCTCGTCGTCCCCATTCTGTCACTTCGTCTCTTGTTCCTTTCATGTTCCGCTCAGGAGACCCACTTCAAAGGTATGATTTTTCCTTTTCATCGTTCCCCTTTTGTTCATTCTGGTTCTTCTGAAGTTCCATCTGGTTTTGGGTTTATTGCGAATTGCTCTGTTTGGTTCCTGAGAAATTTTGGGTAAAGATTAGGAAGTGATGAGCTTTTCTGGGTTTCTTTTATCTTTTGATGATTTGATTGAGAAATATAATATCATTGGTTTCATTATTGAATTGTAAATAGCTAAGGAAGCTAGGGTTTAGGGTCCCCTTTTGAAAATTTTGTAATTTGATTTTTATTCTTGGAATAAGGGCATTGGGGACTGAACTTGAATGTTTGCCTTGGTTCATTCCCTTTGAATATCCTTTACTAATAGAAGTCTCATTGTGGGCTTCTTTTATTATTTGTGATGTTTCTGTGCCTTAACTTTACAGCAGCAGTTTATTGACATATAATGACTTCCCAGTAGTGATGTTTTTGTGGCCAAATTGGTAGAGATTGGAGGGTTCTTTATATTTGTGGAACTTTAGATTTCAAAAGTTGAATATCTGGCTCAATTCCTTTTTACTACTAGGCGTAATCTTCAGGATGAGCTGTTGTCTTTCAAGGACAAATTAAACTTTACCAGTGTCTCTTTTGTTCTGTTCTCTTGACAATAAATTTTGTAAGTGTTTTGTTGAAGCTTTTCTGGCGGTAATTCTTTCACCATTTTTCCTTGTTTATTTGTATGTTTCCAACTATCTCTGAATTTAAAATTTCAGGTATTGACTTGGGAAGCCCAATATTAAGTGTCACTCCAACCCCCCTTTCTTGGCATCCATCTGCTCATGCTTCTAAAGATGTTTTATTGTGTGATCGGGTTAAAGTTTCTGGTCACTCTTGGTTGGATCTTGGGAGTTATGCTAATTCCTTTCGGGTTACTCTGGCTCCATCAGTGTCAATCCCTCAGCAGTTACACAGCAAAATGCAAGTTTGTTTTCACCGGTAAGTGTCTTAGTTCTGCTGTATCTTGTGTGGTCTCTTTAGCTCCCATCCCCTGAACAGTACAGGCATGCGGAGAGGCACACAACTTTTTACTGAAAAGTTTCTTGTGCAGTGTTTTGTCTAATTGAAAAGC